TTGATTGGAAGAAAGTAATGGAAAAATTTCCACAAAGGAAATTAAGATTTGTAAAATTGGTTATCAGTAACAACGCAAATTTGAACCCATTTGTTGCACAAGGAGCTTGGAGTGAGGAAGAAAGGAAGTTATTTCAGGAAGCTCTTGAAAAATTTGGGAACAATTGGAGAGAAGTATCGCAAGTAGTAAAAACAAGATCACCAAAACAGTGTTCTAGTTATTATCAAAGCATAAAGGCTAAAAAGTGATAGTGTTAGTGAATATATTGGATATTATTTTCTAAAATCCTTTTATATTTACTTGCAAATAAAAAAATTTTCATAAATACAAATATACTGTATATACAGTATTTGTTGTTCAAACCTTAGGATTTAAAACAAAAAAAAACGGAAATATAAGGAAAATGAGTTGGTTCAAGTGTTTTAAATTTTAATAAAAAAAAAATTCAATTAAAAATTCTTAAAAAAATAATAATTAAATAAAGTAAGTAAAATTTGAATATATTTAATTTTAAGTTTAAAATAATAATTATAAAAATAAACAATAAAATATATTAGCAAATTGAGTTCTAATTAAATATGATTATTTATAAATTTTTAACTTATAATTTATATTATTTGTTTTATAATTTATAATTATTATTCATATTTATATTTATACTTATATTTATATTTTAATTTTAATTTTTAAAATAATTATATTAAAAATTCAAAAATTAATACTATTATTAAATTTTAAATTTCAATTTTGAAATTATAAAATAATTTTTATAATTTTTAATTTGTATTGATATTATAATAAATAAAATTTAAATTTAAACTAAATATTTTAAATTCAAATATCAATTATAAATATATAATATATAATATAACTTTTTAAAATTTTATTTATATAACATTAATATAAATAATTTTTTCAAAACAAAGCAATTTATATAAAATTATATATATATAAACAACAAATATATACTATATTAAGGCTCTGAAAAGTATTTTTAAAGTAATATCGAAATGGTACTGATCTATAGTAAATTTAATATATGGGTTATAACCTACTTATATAAATTTATAGTAAATTTAAATATCAAACTGGTATTGAACTAGTATTAAAATAGTACTGTTAAAAGCCCTATACTATATATATTTTAAAATCTTTCAATATATTTTTTTATAAACCTATTATTATAATAATATTTTTTAAAACTATTAAATTATTTTATAATTATAAAAAATAAAATTACTTTGCAAATGAAATATATTCTATAACTAATATAAGTATATTGTTTATTATTATATTCTTTAAATAAAAATTCTAAAAAAAAATTCATAAAAATTATATAAAAATATATTTAAAAAATATTGTATATAAATTAAACCAATTAATTAATACCTATATTATAATTTAAAACTTTTTAAAAATTAACAATTAAATTATTAAATATAAATACTAAATGAAATATTTTATATAACAATTTTAAAATATTTAATAAACTTAGATTATAAAAATAGTTTATTTTTAAAAATTCTTATATTGTACTATTTATAAAAAGATTTGTTATTTAAACAAAAAAATATTTTAAAATAATTATAAAAAAATTTTTTAATAAAACTGAATTAACTTTAAAATAATATAAATTCTATTAAAAATTTTATATAAAAAGAATTTTGTATAAAAGAAAACTTATATAATATATTAAGTTAATAAGTTTTAATATTAGCTTACTTATATATTTCGTCAAAGTAATATAGTAAAATAAATATTAAAATATATATACAGTCAACCCTCCATAAAAGAACCCTCTATAAAAGAACAACCTCTTATAAAGAACATTATTTCATGGAACCGATACAATTATTAGTAAATTTACCTTTATAAAAGAACAAT